TATTTATTTATTTATTTATTTATTTATTTATTTGAGAGAGAGAGAGAGAGAGCACGAGCAGGGTGAGGGGCAGAAGGAGAGGCAAGCTCTTTGCTGAGCAGGGAGCCCAACGCGGGGCTCAATCCCAGAACTTCAGGACCACGACCTGAGCTGAAGGCAGATGCTTAATGACTGAGCCATCCAGGCACCCCTTTATTATTACAGTTTAATTATAAAAAATAAAATCAGGATTTTCCAAATGAAGAGACACATAAGGTGAGGTCTGAGAGGGTCCTGAACACAGAGCTCCTGTGCTCTCTCCCTGTGGAATCAGAATATATTACCCTCCTGGTACATTGATGCATTCACCAACCAGGAAGCTCCACTGAGGTGGTTTTTTTTTTTTCTTGACTTTTTTTTTTTTTTTAAGAGAAAGAGGGAGCGGGGTGAGGGGCAGAGAGAGAGGGTGAGAATCTCAAGCAGGCTCTGCGCCCAGCACAAAGTCCAATACGGGGCTTGATCTCACCACCCAGAGATCATGACCTGAGCCAAAACCAAGAGTTAGATATTCAACCAGCTGAGCCACCCAGGGACCCCTCCACTGAGTTTTGTTTTGTTTTGTTTTTTAAGATTTTATTTATTTATTTGACAGAGAGAGAGAGAGAACAAGCAGGGGGAGTGGCAGGCAGAGGGAGAGGGAGAAGCAGATTCCCCATTGAGAAGGCGGCCCAATGCACGCTTGATCCCAGGACCCTGGGATCATGACCTGAGTTGAAGGCAGACACTTAACCAACTGAGCCACCCAGGCGCCCCTCCACTGAGTTTTTATTGGGGTTTCATGACACAGGTATAATTGAATTATTGGCCATGTGACTGGACTCGATCTCCAGCTCCCTTCCCCTCCCAGGGCTCAAATTCCCAGATTACACGGGTCTTGACCAGCCCCATCCTGAGTCATCTCGTAAAACAAATTCATGTATGGTCCAAAAGCCCACCAAGGGGCATCTGAGTGGCTCAGTCCACTGAGCGTCCAACTTTTGATTTTGGCTCGTATCATGATCTCAGGGTGAGTGGGGCTCCGTACTCAGCAGGGAGTCTGCTTCTCTCTCTCTCCCTCTCCCTCAAGCCCTCTCCCCCTCATGTGCTCTCTCGTGCTTTCTCTCAAATAAATAAACAAATCTTAAAAAAAAAAAAAAAAAAAAGCCCGCCAAGAATAAAAAAGACACCCCTATCACTCATGAAATTCCAAGGGTTTAGAAACTCCCTCCTAGGAATCCATGACAAAGACCAGACAAATTCTTTATTATACAACACCCTGAATTCAATTTGGTGATGTAGGCTACAACCCAGGGAAGTAAGTCTAGATACTACCCACTCTCCGAGATTAGGATATCTAATCTATCTTGGCCTCGAATGACCAAGGAAATGATACCTCAGGGCATCTGGACAACTCTATGCCCAGCTGATCCTCTGTCTCTCTTCTGTCTCTACAGGTACTATAGCCCAGAAGAAACAAGGTAGGCTGAATGGCTGCTTTACATCCTCAAACGCTGAGAAAATACACAGAAATATGGTTCCTATGCTAATAGTCCTATAGGACTGAGTGACAGAGGGGATGGGATGATAAGTGATAATAGCAAACCTCTCATTGTCAACCAAATGAGTGGCCAGTCATGACCTTTCTGGGCACCTTTCCTGTAGCCAAACAATTAACTCTCTAGTTCTTCAAGTAGAAACAGGACCCCAGCAGCTAGGCATTATTCAAAGTGGGACCCATGAACCAACACCATTGGCATCATGTTAGAAATGCCCCATTTCATCTCCTTCCCAGAACTACTAAATAGAATCTGAAATTCTCACCAGATTCCCCATGTGGTCCATGTGCACATTAAAGTTTGAGAACCACCACTACAAATGGTCTTGTTGTGATATCTTGGGGCAGGGAAAATTTCAGAGGAAAGATCCTTAACGGACAGTGGCTTTTCCCTTTTCAGAAGTTCCTGTGGTAAAAGTAGATGACAATCGAGAAGATGGTTTGGTATTTCTGATTTGTGACTCACAAGACACAAATGTCACATGGTTTAAAGACGGGAAGGCAACAACTTCGTCGCATAAAAATAAAAACAAGTTTGATCTGGGAAGCAGTATCAAGGACCCTCGAGGGGTATATCAGTGTCAAGGATCAAAGAACATTTCAAAACCACTCCAAGTATATTACAGAAGTATGTAATCCCCTTCGGTTTGTTTGTTGTCCAATTAAGCAGTACTGCTGTTCTGGTGGGCTTCCTATCCCTGGTGAGTGTGGGAAGAGACACTCAGTGGTTCTCGTTCTCTTAATCTCAGCGTGCCTCTTTTTGAATATAACAAGACAGTTCCCCCATCTTCTTGGAAAAGCATAACCAGTCCTGTAAAGCCTGGTTTAATTTTGGATAGGCCTTTATGGATTGGAGCAGTCAGCTATTTATATAAACTGAGTTGGGGTAGCCCAGGGAGACAGAGGGGATTATAAGGTGAGCAGCAACGAAATGTAGAAGGCAGTTGACCACGGAGAAAGGGATCTGATCTTCCTTCTATTTCACATAGTTCCTGGTGGTCAGACTATATAGGCTTCCCTAGGGTGCCTGGGGGACAGAGGGATATCAAGTGTATTGCATTCTTAGTCCAGAGATCTTCCCAGGCAATTCCCTTACCATACCTTGCACAGAGAGAGGAATCTGCTACCCCAAATGGAGGCATTAGCACTGTAGGCAAGAGTAAAAGATTCAGAAGAACCACTTTCACACCCTGACGGAGTATTGTCCCTCCCTTTCCCCACAGTGTGTCAGAACTGCATTGACCTGAATGCAGGCACTGTATCTGGCTTTGTCTTCGCTGAAATCATCAGCATTTCCTTCCTTGCTGTCGGGGTTTACTTCATTGCTGGACAGGATGGAGTTCGCCAGTCAAGAGGTAAAAGAATGTTCCTCAGTAAGGGATGAGACCACCTGGGACCCTGAGTTTCCTTCCTACCAAATAGACCCAATAGAAGAGATGAGGTGGGCATGTATTGCCATCTAGCCCAATTGGGTGTAAAGGACACTGGTGTGTCCACAGCATAATTACCTGTCTCGAGATCCACCTCCCTCTGATTTTCCTCCGATTCCTCTGATTTTTAAAAAAAACTCTTTAACTGAACCAAAACCTACAGAGAGAAACATGCATGAATGACAAGCATACAGCTAAACAAGCAAACACACCCATGAATCCAACACCCAGTTTAAGAAAGAGAATATTACCCACACCCTAGACGTCCCCCTTGTGGTCAGTTCCAGCCTGTACCTATCCCCCAAAGCGAGTACTAGCCTGACTTCTAAGAATGTTGATTAATTTTGCCTGTTTTCACTCCTTATGTCAATGGACTCCAGAAGTGCTCTTGTGTGTGTGCCTCTGCTACTCAAAAAAACATGCCTGTGAGATCTTTCCGCCTTGTTGTATGTAGATGTATTTCACTCTTACTGCTATTTAGTGCTGTGAATATAACCCAATTTCTTCACCATTCTACCTTGCGTATTTTATTTTTATTTTTTGTAGCTTCAGACAAGCAGACTCTGTTGTCCAATGACCAGCTTTACCAGGTAAGGGAAGGGGGAATGAAAGAGACATTGCTACAGTTAGAAGTACAATTGGGGGATGGGGGACAAGTTATTCAGAGGATACTATACAGATAAGGAACTGCTTAAGGCATACCAGATGATTACATAGTTACACTTTGGGTAGAATGGATGAAATGAAGAGAAAGGTTGAGAGAGATTGAGGTCAGGATCCAGGGAGAAAAAGCTGAAGAACACAAAGAGAGGGACACACAAAGAAACTGTATACAGAGCCTCCACCCTCCTTGTCCTCTTTCCACCCCCAGGACAGTGAAGCACCCACTCCAAAGCCTTGCACATGAAAAGCATTCAATAAATATGCATCAAATTAATTCACAGAGGAGGAGGGAAAATGAGTTTATGACCATGCTGTCCTTTCTAGCCCCTCAGAGATCGGGAAAATGACCAATACGGCCACCTTGAAGGAAAGCGATTGAGGAAAAACTGAACTCAGGACTCAAAGTAGGTGTGTCCTTCTACACCAATTCTAAGAAATTACCTTTCCTGGGGCGCCTGGGTGGCTCAGTAGGGTAAGTGTCTGATTCTTGATTTCAGCTCAGGTCACGATCTCAGGGTTGTGAGCTCGAGCCCCGCACTGAGCTCTGTGCTCAACACAGAACCTGCTTAAGATTCTCTCTCACCCTCTCCCTCTCCCCCTCCCCCCCAGCGCTCGCTCACTCTCTCTCACTCTCTAGAAGAAAAAAAAAAAAAAACCAAACACCTTTCCTTTACCTGCCTTCCCATCTGTTGTCAAGTCTATCTCCTTTTTCCAAACAGCTATAAGCTTAGGAGAGGGTGGGTGACTGATAGTCCCTTGTCATGAGGGGACTGTCCTGTGCATTGTAGGGTTTTTAGCAGCATCCCTGGCCTCAGTCCACCAAATCCCAGTAGTATCCCCAGTTGTAACAATCAAAAATATCTCCAGATATTTCAAGTGTATCCTCTGGGGCAAAATCAGCATTCGTTACGAACCACTGACCTATATTAACCTTTTGATCAACCAGTCAATCAGTCAGAAGTTCTGATTCAATCAATCAAGTTTCAACCAGGAAAACAGGACCCAAGCATTATTTGGTTTTCTGAACCAATTCCAATTTTTTCTTTTTTCAATCCAGGTGTTCTCCGTTTGAATAGTTCTCAGAAACATGGCAATACGTTTTGGAGCACTCCTAGCAAAGAGACGGTCAGCCTAAATCTAGATTCAAGTCTCCCAAAGGTGACAAATGGAGAAAAAAAGCCCATCAGGGCAAATTTGGATTTTTCTCAAAATAAATAAACTAGAAGTAAAGTAAAAATATGTATGGTGTTGCAGGAGCGCCACCTATTGGGAGGTAATTTTTCTGTAAAAGAAAACTGAAAAGGTCAAATAACCCCCTCTATTTGAATGTTACTTTTTTAAAGTTCTAATTTTGATTTACCTTCTGTATAAGTCATAATTTACATGGTTCAAATATACAATGAAGGTCTCCCTCCACCTCCATCCCCAGCCATTCAGCTGTCCTTTCCAGAGACAAACAATATACTAGTTTCTTACATATCTTTATTAGGTCTATAAGGTATTATAAATCAGAGGTATTCTAGGCATACGTAAGCAAACTCTCTTTTTTTTTTCATAAGCAAACTCTTAAGTACACATTATTCTTCCCTTCCCTATTTTTCACACAAATGGTACCATACTATACATCTTGCACTTTTCACCTAATAAAATTTAAGATTATTTCATACCAGCAAGTAAAGGAGCGCCTTTTTTTTTTAATGCAACCACATTGCACAGACTCACTATGATTTATTTAATCAGTCCTCTATTAATGGACAAAATATTACTGCCAATATTTTGCTCTTAAAATACTGCAATGACTAACACTGTATAAATGTCATTTTAAAAATAATTGTATTGAGGTATAAATTATATGCTAGAAAATTCACTCATTTTAAGCAATTTCTCCTGTTCTCAGTAAGTTTTACAAAATTTACCCAGCTGTGCAATCAACACAATCATTAGAACATTTCCATTACCCTCTTAAGATTTCTTCTGCTGTTTGCAGTCATTCCCTGTTCCCACTCTCAGCCCCAGGCAACCACTAATCTCTTTTCTGTCAGAGTTGCCTTTTCTACACATTTCATATAAATGGAATTATACAATATGCTGTTAATTATAAAATGTGCTGGACAATCTCATGTCAAAGTTCACGCTAATCTTTGTGTGCACCCCATGTCTACATTTCTCTGGGATTGACACCTGGGAGTGAAGAATTGCTGTGTTGTATGGCAAATTTATGTTTAACTTTTTAAGAAATTCCCTGTACCTTTTTACGTGCCCACTAGCAATGGATGAGGGTTTCTGTTTCTCCATTATCCTCACCAATATTTGTTACTTTGTTTTTTTAGTATAGCCGATTCTTCTAGGTATAAAATGGCATCTTATTGTACCTTTAATTTGCATTTCCCTAATGATTAATGTTGTTGAACATCTTTTCATGTGCTTGTCCGCCATTCTTATATCTTTAGTGTAACGTCTATTTCAAATCTTTTTTTTTAATTTGGGTTGTTTCTTTGTCTTACTGTTGAATTGAAAGAGTTCTTCTATATTTTGAATACAAGTCCTTTATTACATATATGATTTACAAATACATCGACCAGTCTGTGGCTTGTCTTTTCATTCTCTTCATGGTGACTTTTGAAGCACAAAAATTTTTAATTTTGATGAAGTCCATTTTACCCTTTTTTTTTTTTATGGATTGTGCTTTTGATGTCATGCCTAAGAAATCTTTGACAAACTCAAGGTCATGATGATTTCTCCTATGTCTTCTTTTTGTTGTTTTTAAAGTTCCATAGGTTTACTTCTGTCAAATGTCATTTTGAACATACTTACGACAATTCATAACAAATACAAATAAATGAGATTTGGAAGCCATAATGTATTTGCACTTGTAATTTTATTAAATATTGCCAAATTGCACTTCATGGAGGTTGGACCAGTGTTTACTCACAGCAACAATAATTGAGAGTGCCTTTTACTCCCTACTTTTTGAACTTTGCCAATCTGATAAGTTAAAAATGCCATCTCAGTGTAGTTTTAATTTACATTTTCCTTATTAAAAATGGAAGTGAACCATGTGTTTTTCCTTCTCATGATATATAGGCTCATATCCTTTTATCTTTTTCTTATTGACTTGCAACAGCCCTTTACATATGTGGGAAATTAGATCTTTTGTTTGTGATATTAGTTGCAGATATTATTCCAATTTTGGTATTTGTTCTTTGACTTGATGATGATTGGTTTTCTATGTACATTTTATTTATCTGCATATAGTAGAATTCACTGGTCTTTTATGGCTTCTAGGTTGTTTCCTATATAGAAAAGTCTTCCGCAAGTTAAGATTATTCTTTTAGGGGCGCCTGGGTGGCTCAGTCAGTTAAGCATCTCTCTTTGGCTCAGGTCATGATCCCAGGGTCCTGGGATTGAGCCCCACAATGGGCTCCCTGCTCAGTGGGGAGTGCCACTCCTGACTGCTTGTTCTCTCTCTCAAATAAAGAAATAAAATCTTTTTTAAAAAAGATTATTCTTTTAAAAAAGTTTTCCTATGGAGGCACCTGGGTGGCTCAGTCGTTGAGCATCTGCCTTAGGCTCAGGTCATGATCCCAGGGTCTTGGGATCAAGCCCCACATCAGGCTCCCTGCTCGGCGGGAAGCCTGCTTCTCCCTCTCCCACTCCCCCAGCTTGTGTTCCCTCTCTCACTGTGTCTCTCTGTGCAGTAAATAAATAAAATCTTTAAAAAAAAAAAAAAAGAAAGTTTTCCTATGAATTCCTCTGACATTTTTATGGTTTCATATTATACACTTAAATGAATGATCCATCTTGAATTAATTTTAATGTAAAGGCCTAACATATTGACTAACTTTCACACCACATAGCTACCCAACCATTCCAGAACTATTTTTTGAATGATCCATTTTGTTCCCATTGATTTTAAATGGTGTTACACGGTCACCAGACTGTAAGCTCCAGGAAGGAAAAGACTTGTGTATTTTTTACTAATGTATCTTCAGAAACTAGTATAATGCTGGAACAAGACAGGCATTCAAAGATTGCACAGAGCTCTGTGTGTGTATATGTGTGTGTGGTGAAGTATACATAACATGAAATTTACCATTTTAAACATTTTAAGTGTACTATTCAGTGGCATTAAGTACATTCACAATGCTGTGCAACCATCACCACCAACCATTTCAAGAACTTTTTTCATCACCTTAACCTCTGTACTCATTAAACAATAATTCCCCATTCTTCCCTTCCCCCAGCCCCTGGTAACCTCTATTCTACTTTTCTATCCCTATGAATTTGCCTATTCTAGGTACCACATATAAGTGGAATCATACAGTATTTGTCCTTTTGTGTCTGGCTTTTTTCACATAACATAATGTTTTCAAGGTTTATCCATGTTGTAGCATGTATTAGCATTTCAGCCTTTTTAAGGCTAAATAATAGTCAATTGTGTATATACCACATTTTGTTTATCCATTCATTTGTCAGTGCACATTTTGGGTTGTTTCCCCTTTTTGCCTATTTTGAGTAATATTGTTATGAACATTGGTGTACAAGTATCTGTTTGAGTCCCTGACTTCAATTCTTTGTGGTGTATACCCAGAAGCGGAATTGCTGTATCATATGGTAATTCTACGTTTAACTATATGAGGAACCACCAAAATTTTCCCCAAGTGCTGCACTATTTTACAATCCCATCAGCAATGCCCAAGGGTTCCTTATCTCTCCTCCTCGCCAACACTTATTTTCCATTTTTTTGATAATAGACTTCCTAAAGGATGTGAGGTATTATTTCATTGCAGTTTCGATTTGCATTTCTGTAATGATTAGTGTCATTCAGCATCTTTTCATGTGCTTATTGGCCATTTGTATATCTTCCTTGGAGGAATGTCTATTCAAGTCCATTGCCCATTTTTGAATCACTGTGTGTTTTTGTTGTTGTGTTACAGTTCTTTATATATTTTGGACATTAATCCTTTATCAGACATATGACTTACAAATATTTTGTCTCATTCTATGAATTGTCTTTTCACTTGCACTTTTTTTTTTTTTAAAGATTATATTTATCTATTTGACAGAGAGACACAGCGAGAGAGGGAACACAAAGGGCTCCACGCGGGGCTCCACGCGGGGCTCCACGCGGGGCTCCACGCGGGGCTCCACCCCAGGACCCTGGGATCATGACCTGAGCCGAGGGCAGACGCTTAACGACTGAGCCACCCAGGCGCCCCTTCACTTGCACTCTGGAAAAGTATGCTGCTTTCACTGCCTTTGTATACCTCAAAGTAACCTTGTAGCACGCATGTTGTCACCACTTTACAGATAAAACTGAAATCCAACACTAGCATATCTTAGCACACTGCCTGACACCTAATAAGAGCTCAAAACTTTGTTATCGTTATTGCTGTTATTGCTCTTGTTGTTGCCTCATATAATAATCTATGAAGAGTAACAGAAGCTGCTTCAATAAGGCATGACACTGGCGGGAAAAATACAAAGCAAAAGCCCACAGAGGTTGCCAGCGGCGCCAAGGATCACCAAGTCATAGCCTCCGGCTATACACCAGATTTCAAAACCCGCCTCGTTTTTCACCAAGCTCCAAACCAACCACCCCCATGCTCCCGCCCCACCAACCCTCCCGGGACCCGCCCTGGACCCGCCCCGGACCCGCCCCGGCCGGAGCCCAAGGCCATTTCCGGCCGCTTCCGCCCCGCCCAGCTAGCTAGCGCGTGCGCCGTGAAGCTGTTTGCGCGCCAGTTCCCCGCGCAGAGCGGCACACCCTGTTTCCGGCGCCGGGATAAGATTCCACAAGGCCCGGCGCCTGGTCATGATGTAAGTTCCGGTTGCTGTGCTGAGTCGGAAGTGGGAATCCTTCGGCCACTAAGACTTGTCGTGTCGTCGCTGCTGGCCCTTCAGGCTCTGGTAAGAGAGGAAATAGCTTGACGGGAGGGGATCGTTGAGTCTGCGATGGGATTTTCTTCTCCTAGTTGAATGCCACTGCAGGTCTCTGCACTCTTGCCTCCAAATTCCTTCTCCTGTGTTTTCCTGACCCTTGACCCTCTCCTTCGTGAACTTCGACCCTGTCTGATTTGGGACCCCTTTACAGTGCCCAAGCTTCTGGCACCTCTACCCTTTTTTGCCATTCCCCTCCAGGAAAAGGCCAGAATACTGGCCTTGCATTATCTTTGACTTCCTTTCTCTGAAAGGAGCGCCGAGTGGGTGGGTCTCCCTCCTCGCGGCGAATCCCTTACGGAACCTGGAGAGATGAAATGCAAAGCGTAGACAACAAATAGCCAGATGCCAAAGAAGGGGAAATTAAGCACGAGTCGCAGCAGTCAAACCAGTTGAATACATACGGCAAGATAATTGACATTTCTTAAGGCAGGTGATCAGTTCACTACTCAAAACTCTCCTGGCGCTCTGCTTCGTGCTCCCTCACGAATATAGGGCGTAGAAGACACTAATAAGATTGAGTAACCGCAGTTCTGGAGCTTATATTTGATGGGTCTTCTCTTTGGGATCAGTTTTTCGCTCCCAGAGTAAGGACTCGTTTAGTCTCACTGTTTTGGTCTCCTATGGGAACCCTCCTGAGATAAAATGGGACCCAGGAAAGAATGCTGTTGGCTTTTTGACTTGAGGAGATCCTTCTAGCTTGTCGATGTGTTGTTAGGATCTGTTGCCACTTTAGCGGGACTTGAAAGAATTTTGGGGTGGAACATATAATACTGAAAACATTTTAATTCATTTTTAGTTTAATGTCTCACCAGGACAGAGACCTTAAAAAGTATGGTTTAACAGAGCTTGATTTTTGCCAGTCCAATTTTACGAAGTATTCTACATATTTTCCTAAAAGCAATAACAAGTCTGATGTTAAAACATTTGCGTGCTCACCTCTTTAAGGGCTGACAATGGTCCTTAGAGATTAACGGTACTGTTCATAAACAAAAGATTGAATGGGGTGGGGAGGGTGATTGTAGTACTGGAAGTAAATAGCTGTTGTAGATGTAGACCCTTGCAGCGAGTAAGTAGGACATATTAAAATGGAATCAAATCTGGGTTGCCTGGGTGGCTTAGTTGGTTAGGCATCAGACGGGCTCAGGTCATGATCCCTGGGTCCTGGAATCGAGCCCCAATTCGGGCTCCCTGCTCAGGGGAGTCTGCTTCTCCCTCTCCCTGTGCCCCACCCCCCGCTCCTGCTCATGTGCAATCTCTCTCTCTCAAATAAATAAAATCTTTTTTAAAAAAGTAATCAAATCCAAAAGCTCCTAAGGATTGATGGTGGCACCATCCCAAAAGCTGACAACAGGATGGTGCTGTATCTCTGTATGGCAGTTGAAAATAGGAGATTATAAGTAATTGGTGACATTGAATATTAAAACAAAATATCAGGGTTCTTATTTTACCAGACCTGTTGGGAGTAGGTAATATCTAGGTACTGTTATATTTGTGAGACCATTGAACGTATCTATACTGACATCTCCACAAAGGTTCCCATCAAGTGATCATTCTTCCCGTTTCCCATGAAACTTTTTAAAAGTGGTTACACAATATTGGACTATGAAAGTAGTTTGTGCACAGATTT